AAAGAGTGCTGGAGTCAAATGACCCTGGCTAGGTGATTATCTAGCCTCCTTTTGAAAACCGCCAGGGTAGGAGTGAACACCACTTCCCTTGGAAGTTGGTTCCAGATCCTAGCCACCCTGACTGTGAAGTAGTGCTTCTTGATGTCTAGCCTGAACGTACTGTCAGTCAACTTGTGGCCATTATTCCTAGTTACTCCTGGTATTGCTCAGGGGAACAGGGATTCTCCCGTTCCCCGCTGGTGCCCCGATAAGTTTATAGACAGCCACCAGATCCCTTCTCAGCCTTCTCTTGGGGAGGCTGAACAGGTTCAGGCCCCATAGCCTCTCCTCATAGGGCCTGCCCTGCTGCCCCCTAACCATGCGAGTGGCCATCCTTTGGACCCTCTCAATGCTGTTCACATCCCTCCTGGAGTGCAACGCCCAGAACTGGATGCAGTACTCTAACTGTGGCCTGACCAATGTCGCATAGAGGAGGAGAATCATCTCCTTGGACCTGCTTGTGATGCATCTATGGATGCATGACAAGGTGCAGTTAGCCTTACTGACCGCATCCTCACATTGGCAGCCCATGTTCATCTTGGAATCAATAATGACTCCAAGATCCTTTTCTGCCTCTGTGCTGACAAGAAGGGAGTTCCCCAGCCTGTAGGTATGCTGCTGGTTCTTTCTTCCTAGGTGCAGTACCTTGCACTTGTCAGTATTGAATCCCATCTTATTCTCATCTGCCCACCCCTGTAACCTGTCCAGACCTAGTTGTAGCCTGACCCTCCCTTCTAGAGTGCCCACCTCTCCCCACATCTTAGTGTCCTCCGCAAATTTGAACAAGGTGCTTTTCACCCCCTCATCCAAGTCACTGATGAAGATGTTAAACAGTGCAGGCCTGAGGACCAAGCCCTGGGGGGACCCCACTGCCCACATCCCTCCAGATCAAAAATGACCTGTCCACCACCACTTTCTGGGTGCAGACCTCCAGCCAATTTGTGACCCATCTGACTGTGTAGGCATCGACACCACAGTCACCTAATTTTTTAATGAGAATGGGGTGAGAGACAGTGTCGAAGGCCTTCCTAAAGTCCAGAAAGACTACGTCCACCATGACACCTGCATCTAAGGATTTTGTGACCTGGTCGTAGAAGGCAACTGGGTTGGTCTGACAGGACCTGCCCCTAATGAACCTATGTTGGTTGCCCCCAAGCATAATCTCCCTTGCTGGTCCCTTGCAGATGTGCACCTGGATAATTTTCTCAAAGAGCTTCCCCAGGACCAAGGTAAGACTAATGGGCCTGTAGTTTCCCAGGTCCTCCTTCCTCCCCTTTTTGAAAATGGGGACCACAATGGCCCTTTTCCAGTCCTCTGGCACCTGGCCAGAGCACCATGAGTGCTCGTAAAGCCATGTCAGGGGTCCCGCAATGACCTAATCCCATAGTGGATTAGCTGATCCCAATTAACTACCTAGAGGAGAGACCTCAATTGTGAAGAGATACTTTCTCTTGTTTCTTCATCAAATGTTTATTAGTTAATACTTTTCTAAATTGTAATTGTGGTAACTATTGAAAAGTGATATTCTA